TTTTTTTTTTTTTTTTTTTTTGAGGGGTAAAATAAAACACTGTCAAATACCTTGGAATAGAATTTAACCATGGACATTGCATGCCTCAGTCATATTTTTTCTGGCTACGACCCTGATATGCTCTTTACACGTAACTTATTGCTTTTTGTGATAAAAGTAATAATGCAGACGTGCAATGTATTCAATTTATTCATGACTGAACCTTGAATGGTCGTCTTTTACATCACATGAACGACCATAGTGCTAAAACCTTGAGCGACTAGCTACAAGTTACTCTCTCACATTTTTCTTGTTGATCATTGATCTTTACCTTGATAAAACTTGGTGATATCTAAATGAATACTTACTTCAAGAATGATGAAACGCCCTCGAAACATTCTCAGGAAGTGTTCTGGTTCTTTGTTTTGTACAACTCGAATCTGCAACACAAAGTAAAGAGCTTTCATTATTTTGATCAGTTAGGAAAGTCAATTCTGATATGGCTAGCTCCGCGAAAAGGCAAGATGAACCAAATCTTGTGCTGTGATTGGCTACCGGAGTGGACTTCATGGTGATACTTTGCCCGCCCTTTCAAGTAAGAACATGGCTTTGTTGATGCCATATAATAAATCCTTTATTGACCAATGGTGTTCTCGGAACTTGGCTGGATTTAAGCCGGGTTTCATCCTTCCGTCTCGGTCCATAAACACAGAAAAACTCACGGCCAATATCCAGCCATCTTGACCTCACGCTCGGTCAATAACCCATACGTACTTCCTTACTTAACTCCTCCCCGGCTAACCTGTGTTGCTATTCCTCCTAGTTTTTTGTCCATTTGATCAGCTAACATTGCTGATGCTGCCTTTTCGTCAATACTGCTTTTTGTTCCCTAACAAAAATAAGGAAAAAACGGTAGTCAGCAAAAACGAGTTTCAATAAACTTGTGTCCGTATTATCTGGGAATCCAACTCTGGCTTCTTTGCTGCGCGTCGAAATGCGACCCGTGTCCTTTACAGGTAAATTACCTTGCCTAATTTATTTATTAAATTAAACAATTAAATTACTACCTGCCAAAAGTAGATTATTATTTGCCTCTTCCAATTAGCCATGAAGCTATACTTTATGACGTAAGAGTCGCCACTGAAGAACACTCCATGTAAGTTTGGCTCCAGAGGATATAGGTCATGGTCTTCAACGCGCCAGATCTGGGAACGAGCGAAGATTGGTCAGTTAAGTAAAAGCACGGTAGGTAGGTAGGTAGGTAGGTATGCAGAGAGAGGTAAGTAAACAAAAGAAAGTAAACAAATTCAATAAGAAAACATCAATAGAGTTAAATTACTAAAATCAGTATTCAAGGCAATGATAAATTTGAAAACAATAAATGTAATAATGTCAGCAAATGCGTGAAGATCCGCCACTGAGCTGAGAGACTGAACAAAAAGAGATTAATTTATAGTATAAAAACGTCAAATAAATTGATTTGTACCTCCACGTCTCCTGTTCCATCGTCTGGTAGGATTTCTGTTTTGTGTTTCTGTTTTTCTCGATCGTGCAGCTGAGTGGCATCAAACTTTTCATTACTTTGTTTAGCTTTGCGTAAGAAAATGAATCAACCAATAAGTAAATTTAAATTATTTTAGAACAAATTACAAACTTGTATCAAACTTTTGTTTGAAATAGGTCCGTTTCAAATTTCTTGTGAAAGATCAAGTAATTACTTTGTGGCAAATTTTGGAGTGTTTATCTGGTGTTCCTCTCGTAACCATTGAACACGTACCGTTTAGCCTAAAATCATCCTCGTCCTTTTCAACTCGTGAATTGCGATACCTGGTTACGGGTTGTTGGTGGTGTGAAGATTTTTTCCCTGCCTTAAAAGACTGCTATTTTGAGGTTCTTCTATTTATAGACAGTTTCACTATGGTTGTGTATATTCATCAATGATCTTGCGCAACCTTGCCTCGCAGAATCCCCACTGACGAATGTACTTAACCGGTGAGACCTTAGACCATGGCTAAAAGAGGACAGTTTTTCACAAGATTAAGCGTACTTGCGGATAGTTTTTTCCGAGATTAAACGTACTTCCAGATATGGTTATGTATATTTTATTATATCTGTCATGTACGGATGACAGATAACACAGGGGCGGATACAGGATTTTTCAAGGGGGAGGGGGAGGGTACCTTTGGGTTGCAGAATCAATGTTGCATGTCACCCAAATGTAGACTTGCCATAAGTTAACCTCATGAATTTCATGGTAGAATATGTTAGGCCGCGAAGTGGCCGAGCGATCGAAGAAGTCGCGAGAGGTCCGGCGGGTACTGAATAAACAAGACGAAGGACTTTTCAGAAAGTCTAATCAAAATATTTTTTTTTTTTTTTTTTTTTGAGGGGTAAAATAAAACACTGTCAAATACCTTGGAATAGAATTTAACCATGGACATTGCATGCCTCAGTCATATTTTTTCTGGCTACGACCCTGATATGCTCTTTACACGTAACTTATTGCTTTTTGTGATAAAAGTAATAATGCAGACGTGCAATGTATTCAATTTATTCATGACTGAACCTTGAATGGTCGTCTTTTACATCACATGAACGACCATAGTGCTAAAACCTTGAGCGACTAGCTACAAGTTACTCTCTCACATTTTTCTTGTTGATCATTGATCTTTACCTTGATAAAACTTGGTGATATCTAAATGAATACTTACTTCAAGAATGATGAAACGCCCTCGAAACATTCTCAGGAAGTGTTCTGGTTCTTTGTTTTGTACAACTCGAATCTGCAACACAAAGTAAAGAGCTTTCATTATTTTGATCAGTTAGGAAAGTCAATTCTGATATGGCTAGCTCCGCGAAAAGGCAAGATGAACCAAATCTTGTGCTGTGATTGGCTACCGGAGTGGACTTCATGGTGATACTTTGCCCGCCCTTTCAAGTAAGAACATGGCTTTGTTGATGCCATATAATAAATCCTTTATTGACCAATGGTGTTCTCGGAACTTGGCTGGATTTAAGCCGGGTTTCATCCTTCCGTCTCGGTCCATAAACACAGAAAAACTCACGGCCAATATCCAGCCATCTTGACCTCACGCTCGGTCAATAACCCATACGTACTTCCTTACTTAACTCCTCCCCGGCTAACCTGTGTTGCTATTCCTCCTAGTTTTTTGTCCATTTGATCAGCTAACATTGCTGATGCTGCCTTTTCGTCAATACTGCTTTTTGTTCCCTAACAAAAATAAGGAAAAAACGGTAGTCAGCAAAAACGAGTTTCAATAAACTTGTGTCCGTATTATCTGGGAATCCAACTCTGGCTTCTTTGCTGCGCGTCGAAATGCGACCCGTGTCCTTTACAGGTAAATTACCTTGCCTAATTTATTTATTAAATTAAACAATTAAATTACTACCTGCCAAAAGTAGATTATTATTTGCCTCTTCCAATTAGCCATGAAGCTATACTTTATGACGTAAGAGTCGCCACTGAAGAACACTCCATGTAAGTTTGGCTCCAGAGGATATAGGTCATGGTCTTCAACGCGCCAGATCTGGGAACGAGCGAAGATTGGTCAGTTAAGTAAAAGCACGGTAGGTAGGTAGGTAGGTAGGTATGCAGAGAGAGGTAAGTAAACAAAAGAAAGTAAACAAATTCAATAAGAAAACATCAATAGAGTTAAATTACTAAAATCAGTATTCAAGGCAATGATAAATTTGAAAACAATAAATGTAATAATGTCAGCAAATGCGTGAAGATCCGCCACTGAGCTGAGAGACTGAACAAAAAGAGATTAATTTATAGTATAAAAACGTCAAATAAATTGATTTGTACCTCCACGTCTCCTGTTCCATCGTCTGGTAGGATTTCTGTTTTGTGTTTCTGTTTTTCTCGATCGTGCAGCTGAGTGGCATCAAACTTTTCATTACTTTGTTTAGCTTTGCGTAAGAAAATGAATCAACCAAAAAGTAAATTTAAATTATTTTAGAACAAATTACAAACTTGTATCAAACTTTTGGTTGAAATAGGTCCGTTTCAAATTTCTTGTAAAAGATCAATAAAATAACTTTGTTGCAAATTTTGGAGTGTTTATCTGGTGTGTATGCCTTTATTTCTGCCACAATATTCACATCAATCTTTTTTTTAAAATTTTTTTTTTTGACTTTTGCTTCTCCGAAAAGGGGGGTGGCTAGTCCATCAATCCCCTCCCCTCTCCCCTCCGCTCTAAATCTCTGTCCCTGATTACAAAGACAAAGCATCGAGACATTTTATCCAATATGGGATATAAAACTTCAAACTTCAAGTATTATTTAACTGTCAGGCTAAACATACCTAAGGCTCCTTGTCGGAACACTTTGCCCATTCCTACTTGCTCTCCCTCGTCCCTCCACCCTGAGAAGAATTGTTTGAAGATCGGTGTCTCCCCTCCCTCCACCACACGGGTGACTTGTGTCCACTGAGGGTAGCCTTTATTGCTAATAAATTCCTTGGAAAAGAAAAAAAAAAATGCACAAATTAAAGACCCCAAGCAAGATCAGATATCGTGGGTATTTTTCCTTAGGATTGGAATAAGAGTGTATAGATGATTATAGTCGATGGTCGATCGGAACTTTTAAATGACAAATTTTGTTTAGCTTGTCCTTAGAAAAGTCCTTAGTCGTAACTAACACACGTGCATATGTTGTCAAACTGCAAAAATGTTAATTGAGACAAATAAACCGGCAAACCTTAGCAGACATATCTTATTATGATACGTGCTCTCAATCAATCACCAAATTGAAAAAAAGGCTAAACATGTCTGTTTCAATTATTACTGTTACACAGGAAAGAGACGAACACTAAAGAGTAGCTGGAATTGAACTACGTCAGAGAACTCTTATGGGTTTGAGTTTGGAAATTCAAACACATGTCGAAGCTTACCATCCCATTCTTCATTCCTGCTTTCTTTTCGGCATCAGTGCATTTCTTCCCAACCCAGACAAAGATTCCACTGCTACCGCAGTCCAGAATAAAACAATCCTGCAGGGAAACTGTTTATTAATACAGTGGAATCACGATTTTTCGAACCTCCAAGAGAACGAAAATTGATGTAAAAAAATCGGGGGTACAATCATAATGTTTGACTGAGGGGAGGAAACGACGTTTAGTTCGAGTTGTCGGGAGATTTGAAAAAAGTGAAGCTTCGAGAAATCGGGATTCCACAATGTAAATATATTTTCGCTCCTCTTTTTATTTCTGTGCCCAATACATTGCTTAATACAACAGCATCAGCATTGACGCTGAGAAAAAGCAAATGACAGTCGAGCTTCAAAACAATGAAGCTGTTCTCGATCGCCTTTAGAAATGGCAAAAAAATGTGTTCAAATCCAAAATTAATCCTAAATAGCATTATTATGCTGATTTAATGACGAGACTCGACCTCTTCCTAGCCAACTAGCCATAGAGCACTAAAACGAATTAGTGTAAATCTACTAGTGATCAATCACGAAGCCGTTCTCTTATTGGCTACGCTACTCACTATCTATTCTGTTGTAAATAGTAAGTAGCCTAGCAGTGTGTGGTTGTTAACAAAATGGCGGCCGCTTCTTTGCTTTTTCGAAATTTCTAGAGTGAAGAGGATTTAGATAAAGTTTTGAACGATTAATAGATTTATACTAAAACAATTAGATTAAGAGCGCGAGATTTCTATGCGTGATAAAAATTGATAACACCTAGTTATTAAAACTAGTTATAAAATTGAACTGAGGTTGTTCCAGTGGTGATCATGAACTTTAAAATGAAGCAGAATAAGGGATTTTAATTTGAAGCGGGCTTAATACTTGATCAAGGAGCGACAACAAGTAGATTACAATAGGGAGGCTTTCCTTAAGCTAGCATTAGCTTCACTAAAATACAAGTCATGGGTTTTATTTTCTTGTTTATATAATTGTCTGGCACTACCTACATCACTATGATAAAACCAAAAGTATGAAAGGCATGGCTACTAACATATGAATCCAGATGCTCTTTCTTCAGAGGCATTTCATTTACAGGTGTCATTTCCAAGGTTCCGCTTTCGTCGGATACCCTGCAAAAGATACAACAAACAGAATACGAAAATTAATCACTTGAAAGAAAGCTTTTTCCTCTTACATTCAGCGACAGAATGCACAGCGTCGTAACTTTTCAGTTACCACTGCATGCACCCTCTCTCCAATATACGTTTATTATATATATTGTTCACAGATGGTGAGTGAAATAAAACATGGAATGGCGACTTTGCGGAGATTCAAAAGTTTCATCATTGGAGGTGTACTATCTTCACATTATCTTCATGTATGGTGTATCTATATCTCCCTGACCACAGCAAAAAAGTAATGTCATTACGCTCTCCTTCGCGATCTCAGAGTCACCGATTTTTCAGCACCTTCAGTCACCAGTAACCTTGAGTGAACTTCAGCTCCAAGTTGAGGACCTTCGCCCCGACCGTGCTGTAATTCATACCCTTGAACGTCATTGAAAATTCCGTACAAAGGACACCTCTCCCTCTCTACAACAGCCGGTTTATTCTGTCCCAGCTCAGGATCTCCCATGGTCACTGTGGTAGAGATGTTCAATTTCAAGCGTTTTAAGAAGGCTTAATGTACCGGTAAAGTAGCAGCATCTTTTGCACTTTTTACAAAACCTCTGAGCGTGCAGTAGGTTTAATGGAAAGCATTTCTATGGCAACACGTACCTGTACAGTGTCACGCTTGTTTGATTGTGCTTCTCAAATGCTACATCGTCACCTCCCTCGCTAGCGTCCTTAATGTCACCACGTGACCCGAGGGCTTCAAAAAATTTGTTTTCGTCCCGGTGATCTTTGCCTTCATCTAATGGTAAAGATTACGCGTTACAGTTTAAAAAGTGGAGTGTGGGTTATTCATGAAAAAAAAAAAACCTAACAAGTTTTTGTGGTACACGTTTTGTGTTGAGTGAGGAGGAAACGGTGTTGTTCTTCTCTTACCAACTGCAACACTCCATATCAACAAAACACATGGTTGGATTTAGCTTTTACTCAAGACATTTTTCTCGAGTTTATCAGGTCCTGAATTCCTATGGTTTTCAGCTTGAATAAATAACAATTTAGAAGAAATCAGAGGGACCACTTGAAGCTCATTGAAGTGTTCAGAGCTAGGGATGTTACTAGTGCAAACTTGAAATGATTAAGATCAATATGATGGCACATTTATTTTACCTATGATGACAAGTTTTGCTTTTCCTCCTCTCTCTTCGTCCCTTATTCGTCTCGCCACTTCAACTCCCTTAAAATAAAATGAATAAGTGACAAAACTGAACCTTAAATGGCCCGGCACTCCTTATCTAAAGAGAAAACAAAGGAGTGGCGTCTTACCCCCACCCCTAGTTTCCCTTTGCTACGGTTCGATTTATTAGATTCCAAATGGGTGCAAGTCTATCCAATTCAGCGTTAACGAAAAATGAGGATTTAAGGCAAAATCCGATAAAAAAAATCGAGCAATTTCAGGTTTTAGTGGACGAACAATCTGTTACCAGAATAATTTTATGTATTTTACAGTCATTTTTACATGTTCTTAAAGCTAAATACATAAATAATTGCCTGAAATAACACCGAAAACAATTTCCCATGGGAACAAGAGAAAATAAGTTTCAAAGTTCAGAAAACTTGTGCAAACACAGGCAAAATTTCATCACCAGTTTCATTTCACCAATACTTCCAAGTGTTTCATACGAAGTTTAACATTCGTTTTCGACGTTTGATGTTGCTAGAAATGAGTTTTTTTGAGAAGATATTTAAACAATCGTACAGAAGTTTGCAATACAGTGTAAATAATCTTGGTACTAGGTTTGTCCACTTCTTACTCGAACTTCTGGTGGATCCCATCTTAATAGTTTCTTTTTACCTTCATTCGCTCCGTTCTGCTGCACTGAGACCCGTTCCAACAATGGATGGTCATTCCTTCGTCCAGAATAAACACATCTCCTTTGTTAAGTGAGGTGTAATGTAGTTCAACCTACGAGAGAAAATCAACTACGCATTGCATTGATGAACCCTTCATTGTCTCCGTGCCCTGAAAGCCTTAAATGTAATCTACAATGTCATCTGTTTCAAAATAGGAGGTTAAAGCATTGCTGGAAGACTCTGAAACAATTAGCGACGGGGGTGACGGAACTCCTTATTTCAGGGGTTGTTCAATTTTTAATTAACATTCGTGTTGCTTGGGCGAAATCTACTTTCTTCCCCATGCAACAAACATTGGCAATCATTTGCCAGAGAGACGTTGATACCGGTATAACATTGAAAAGGGGAATGAGGGAGCCAAAGAATCATCCGTAGATACATTTGAAGCAGTAGAGAGGGACAAAATTTGGTAAAGTGACGTTTTATACAGTGTCTCATCAACATTTGTCGCCGATTGTGTCCTATGAATCTCAATTTGACCGGAATGAACTCCAGTGCCTGAACCACTTGGTCGCGCATGCCTAACGATAGCGTGGATGGAAATAGATTACAACAAGGAGCGAGTTGACACTCGTCCACTAACCTGTGATACTCGCACGTTTCTTTTGCCCTTGACATGAAAAAGTCGCTTCTCGTACACGCCTCGCTGGACTTTTCTGAAGCCAGAATCTACACCACCTTCCAGGTATCTACAAGTGAAGTAATAAATTGTATTACATGTAATTAATTGGCCAGTCACCACGTGGTTATAACTTCAAAACCCTTCTGTAGAATTCGCGGGTCGTTATCGGAAACTTTAATCTCACAGTGTTTCACTCCACCCAGGCGTGCAAATGAGTACTGGCGAATAGACCATTTTATAGTTACCCCGTGCTTTTGTTTCAAAATGAGTCCTCGTGCAAAACCTTTCATGTGAAAATGAGTTTGATTCGCATGAAAAAGAACCTGCATGTAGAAGAAACACATTTTCATATGATTGGTTTTGCTCGAAGACTAGTTTTGACACAGAGGCCCACAGAGTAGTACAGGCAGCCCAAATACTATTTGGGCTGCTTGTACGACCTGTGCTAGCAATCCCCCATCAAGGGGAGAAGTTGCACTCCTATTCAACGCAATGGGCAACAGATACCGCAGTTTAGTACTGCACATTGATAAATATTGCTACTATAGTTAAACAGCGCACATACCTTATTCCTTTCGGAAAATAGTTCAAAAATTTCCTTGATTCGTGATCTTGAACCTTAGTGGAAAATTAAAGAAGCGAAAGTGATTTTAATACTTTTGCGGGCATGTTAATATAGAATCCAACGGTTTGCTTTCAGCTAGACAGATTGATCTGTATATAAGTGCGAACCCGATTTTTCCAACCTTAGGTTTTGGAACTTCTCAATTATTAAAATTATTGGAAGCAAGTTTTTGCTCTCTTTCAAAAAAACTTTCGAGAAATTTATTGTCGAATTTTTGCTCCTCCTGAGTTCTTGTGATGGACATCCTCGCCTGTTCAATGCGTTCGTTTAGCTGGAAACAGTGAAAAAAGCTACGCTCCTCTCTCCCCTCCACACCGATTTTTGAATTGATCTCTAACTAATCTAGAACAAGTTATGGACAAGTAGATTACTCCTCGTCGTTTTCGTGCTCCAGAAATTAAGATAATTCCTGCGCGGGTTGTGTGCCACTATATGATCCTGCTGAACATTTTACCGATTTTACGTTGATTTATATCAAACTTAACTAAACCCGTGTGGTAGGACTCTGCAGTAGTATACACTGATTAACTGCATCTCTATCAAAACGGAGTGCCGATACACCTTTCCAATTGTAACAGGTCCCAGTTGTTCCAAGGGTGGACGATGCAGTTCATCGGATAAATCACTATCCAGTGGATACTGAGGTGTTAACACTGAAATTCAACCACACTCTACTGAACAGCGATTTATCCGTTGGATACTGTATCCAACTTTTGGGCACAGTCGGACGCTTGACGAAGATCATCTTACAGTGGACAGTTAAGTCTGCTTTACACCGTGTTCTCTTAGCTAGAAAGGGTTGATTGCACAGAAGACAGAGAATACCTCTAGGTTCTCGATATCAATATTCATACCTCCCTGTACTGTACCGGTCCACCCCCGAGATGATCATCCAATTCTACTGTCTTATAAGCAGCCACACCTTGCTCGTCCTGTCAGAAAGCAGTGTTAACCAAATGAGCAGAGATGTTCTAATGTCTTGGGAAACCTCAATTCAAAGATTTTCACCCAGGTATTCACCGGCAGAAATATTTACAGTTTGGTTTTATCACAGATGAGAGATCTGTATTACACAAATGCTAAGAGAGGATAAAGAGTAAGAGAGTAAATTCTCCATATACGCATAGTCCTCATGGCAATCCC